CTGCACACAACAGACTACACACAGCAAATACTAGTGCCTGCTGGAACCAGAGACCAAGGCAGTGACTTACAGCTTCAAAAACGTCTCAGTGCCTCACAGACAGAGAGCAGGCAGACAGCTCTGGTGGGGAAGGGGGAACGTTGGAGGGTGTGGCGGGAGCAAAAAAAAAAAGAGAGAGAAAGAGAGAGAGGTAACTCATGGACATGGACAACAGTGTGCTGATTGCAGGGTGGAGTGGAAGAGGGCACAGAGGGGATAGGTGATGGGGAAAAAAAGAATACTATGAATTGTTAAAAAAAAAAAAAAGAAGTCTCAGTGCAATGTCAAGTACTTCGGGAAACCACCAGAATCCCAGAAAACTATTATGGTAGCAGAAAAAACAATGTTTGCTTAATGATGAAAACCATTAAATTCCGGCAGAGTTAGTTTTCTTCAGGAAGTCTTGAGAATTGGAAGAAAATGTCATCTCGGATGATCGAAGTAAAATCTATTTCACATGAAGAACCCCACTCACTAATCATTTAATGATCACCGAACACCAGGGATGTCAAGAAGACAATCTCTGTTGCCAGGAGCTTATAGAGAGGGTGAGCCAACTACGGTTAATAATACCAGTAATTACCATTAAAGTGATGTTAATAAGAGCAGCTTCCGTATATTTAACATTCGCCTGCTCCAGACTTTGCTAAGTGCCTTGTCTGTGTCGTGTCCTTTAATTCTCACTGCAGTTCTCACACCAATAGTGATCACAGTGCAATCCCTGAGATCACGCTGGGCAAGAGGGAGGGCCTGGGATTACACTTAAGTGGACGATGCCTAAGTCTATGTTCTTTTTTAATTAGAAAACATTTTTTTTTTAAAGTCTGTGGTCTCAATCACTGTGAAAAGAGATGTGCAATTCAGTGGAACAGACTTAATGACAGGAGGGCAGTGTAGGTTGGAGGGGGTTAGTGAGGACTGCAGGGGAGGGAGGAACACAGGAGAAAAGTTCCTGGAGGTGGTGAATACCTGGATGAATCTTGAGGTATCAGAGTTGTTTTCCAGGAAAAAAAAGAAAAAAGAAAAAAAGATAGTCATCTTTTGCAAGCTAATGAGTAATAATGTAGAACACGTAGCTCAGTACCTGGTACACAGTTAGTGCTGGGTAACTGTCAGCTCTAATTAGTATCACTACATGAAGCATCCACCCTCTTTAACACACACAAAACTGGGAAAAGATGGAAAGGAAATAAGGTGGGAAGCCCAGTGCTGGAAGATACACTGAACAGGGACAGGAGGTGTGGGTTCTAGTCCCAGCTCTGCACGACCTTCTTGCTGAATGGCCCTGGGCAATTCCACCAGTGCTGGGGCCAAAGATTCCCTTGTCAGTAAAAAAGGGTCTGAACACGTTAAAAACATGGCTAATGCTTGGCATGACCTTGACCTTCCCAAGCAATCATATCCTTAAACTTGCCACAACGAGTACACAGAATAACTACCCTACGCTGCCCTGTCCTGCCCAACCCTAACCGCACCCAATCATGCAGACTTCTAGGGTCTAATGACCACGTTACTGCCCTTGATTTGGGCTTCCTGGGGGTTCTTCCTGCCTTGATCATATAAAAGGCAGAGGAGTAGAATACTGGATCACTGCCCAATTACCTGGATTTCATTCCTAGGTCTATTATCTAAGAGTGGTGTGGCCTTGGGTAAGTGCCTTAACCTCTCTGGGCCTCAGTTAGCTTATCTGAGTCACATGGTTGTGGTAAGAATTAAATGAGGTGTTTTTTTTTCCCCCTAAAATACTTAGAACAGTATCTGGCACATAGTAGGTGCTAAATAAGTGTTTGCTATTATTATTCTCCCACTCAGGCTGCAATGATTAGCATAGACTGTCACCGGCAGTGCTACACTGCTCAAAGACTAATTTTCAGGATCTATATGTGGTATACATAAATATGTATATATATGCAAATATTATGCAAACACATACACCTCAAGGGATGTCTGATATATATATATATGTGTGTGTGTGTGTGTGTGTGTGTGTGTGTGTGTGTGTGTGTGTGTGTGTGTGTACAGCCCTTATGTGTGGGCTGTACTTAGTGACCTGCTTCTAAGGTACAGAATATTGCAGAGCGGCAATACTTGAGCTCAAGATGAGGACATTAAAAGCTCTGGGACTTCTGCCTCGCTCTCTCTTAGATCACCCACTCTGGGGGAAACCAGCTGCCACGCTGGGAGAATATTCAAGCAGCTGAAAAGTAAGGGCCATGTAGCAAGGACCCGAGGAGTCCTGCGAATAGCCGTGTGAGTGTGTCAGTTTGGAACCAGATCCTCCAACTCCAATCAAGCCTTGGGGTGACCATCACTCCCCTCAGCATCTTGACCACAATCTCGTCCCTGAATCAGAACCACCAAGCTAAGTCATTTCCAAATGACAGAATAAATGTTTATTGTTTTAAGCTACTAAGTTCTGGACTAATTTGTAACACAGTAATAATGACAAATACAACACCCCTAAATCTTTAGGCTCAAAGTCAAGACCCCTTCATGATCCTGGTCTTCTCCTTTCCTGGCGTTCGGTCCTGCCTCTATAAAATACAGGCTGGGGGCAAAGTAGGTTTATAGTTGTGAGTACGTGAATCACATCTTACTCTTATTTGTTAGTTATTGTATTATTTTCCATATGAACAACTATAAACTTACCTTTGCCCCACCCTGAATTTTGTCCATAAGAAGCTGTTACTGTCTTGGTGTCTTGGTGGAGAATTCTAGAAGTAAAAGCAGGATACACTGGCCCCAGGTTGAGAGGGTGAAAAGTGGAGGAGTCAGGTGATGATTAGAAGGAGTGAGCCACATGAACACGAAACCGTTAGCAGTTTTCCTCTTGGCAGCTACAATATGAAGCATCACCAAGTCAGCTACGTCTACTTACATCCACCAAGAAGTCAAAGACGCGGGAGTGCAGGGCCTTGGCGAGGGCGTCCCTGGTGTAGCAGGCCTGCTCCACGTTGAGTGTCACGTGGATGGACTCCGACTTGCCTCCCCACTTGCTATCCATTTGCCGGCTGGTCAGCTTTTCTTTAAGACGGTCCTGGTTTATCCCCAGGAGATAGGCAGGAAAAGCCAAAACTATAGAAAACAAAATAAACCTCGATTGTTTTTAAGAAAGTTAACAATGCATCTCACAAACAGGGAGGCACTTGTGTGTGTGTGTGTGTGTGTGTGTGTGTGTGCGCAAATGCATAAACACACACACACACACACACACACACACACACATACACAGGCACACACACAAGATACCATCTTTAGTCCCAAGAACTTTCAGGCTAGCAATCCCACACACACCCATCCACTTTGCTTTTCCCAGTTATTCTATTACATGAGTTAATTCCTATGATGACTGAGCTTCCAATAATACAAATCAGTTAACCAAGAAGAGTGGCATTAAACCAATCCCCCCTGCTGAGATCACAGCTGAATGCCTAAAATGGACATCTCTCCAAGCTTGCAGCAAGACAGCCGGAAGGAACTAAATCAAGCAACATTTCTTTGGCTTCAAATATTGTTTTCTTCCTCTTTGATACAGTGTTTTCATAGCATCATTCACAAAGAGCTGGAAGCATCTGATATCATCAGACTAATAATTACAACCAACCACTTATTTTTTTGAGTAGTTACCATGTGTGGGGCTGTTAAAGGGAGAGGACAGGACACAAATTATTGAAGAAACTCTCATGACAATCTAGAGGAGGCGAAAGTAGTTTGCCAAATAAAAGCTAAATATGTGACACAGATAGATAATAAAGTCCTGGGGGAATTTAGAACAGAAAGATATTACTACTTGCGTGGGTGATTGAGGAAGATGGGTGGGGTCTAAAAGAATGGACAGGATAGGTATAGATGCAGAGGATGAGAGAGAGAAAGATGGAATGTGTAAAGGTGAGGAGGCAGGAATTCAAGAGACATGGTTGAGGTACACAGTGAGTAGGCCAACATTGGCTACAGCTGAAGGTTATGGTAGACGATTAAAAGGTCAGGACCAATTCCAATAGTGGAGATCATTGAATGGTCGAGATGGTCGGGCTGGAGTCAAGGGGACCTAGATGGCATCTAGAGAGGAGTGTTAGAAGATTTTTCTGGGCGAGGCGTATGGAACAAAATGGAGGGTGTTGTATTAGTCACATCACAGCACGCCCATCCCACCCTGAGGACATACAGTGGTGTAGTGTGTGGCTTTCGGGCAGAAAAGCTGAGGTTCCCAGGCTCAGCTACCTGTTTCCAGCTGTGAAACTGTGCAAGAGGAGGGCTAGTGATATAAATGGAATTCTTTTTTTCTGGTTAAAACATTCTAATGTGAATAAGTGACACCAACCATCCTTGGGCATAAAAGGATGCTCAGATTTCTCTCACTATTTTTATGGACACAAATCAGAATTCTTAACTGGACTACGAGTCTTCTTTTTCTGCATAAAGCTTTTCTGAAATTCTCTGATAAAAGGATTTTGTGAGAGACCTTATTATGATAATGCTCAAAAATCACAAGCCTCCCAATAAAAAATAATGTTTGAATTTCACAGATGGTGTTAGAATGAACAGGCTGGCATTTCTCAGTGTATACCTTCCAATGCGATTAAGTCAGTGAATGCATTTAGAAAAAGTGCAATGCCAGAACAAGGTGTATATGATCTATGTGAGTGTTCCACAGAAATGCTCCCACTAGCAGACAGCTTCCTTTTAAAAAGGGCATGTGAATAAATCAAGTGCAGTAATTTGCCAAAGGCCATTTCCTTTAGATTAGTTTTTACACTTGATCTTGGCGCAAAGGCCATGAAGTGATGATTTTAATTTAGTTTTTTAAATTTAAATTTATTGGGGTGATATTGGTTAATAACATTAGTTTCAAGTGTACAATTCCATAATACGTCATTTGTATATTACATTGTGTGCTCATCACTCAAAGTCTAGTCCAGCCATGGGCAAACTACGGCCCACGGGCCGGATTCGGCCCATTTGAAATGAATAAAAGTAAAAAAAAACAAAAAAAAACCCGTACCCTTTTATGTAATGATGTTTACTTTGAATTTATATTAGTTCACACAAACACACCATCCATGCTTTTGTTCCGGCCCTCCGGTCCAGTTTAAGAACCCATTGTGGCCCTCGAGTCAAAAGTTTGCCCACCCCTGGTCTAGACAACCCAGGGCCAGTTCCTTGATCAGTAAGTACAACCCAACATCTGCGGCGAATGAATTGTTTGATACAGCAAATCATTAGCCTCACTTTGTTGGTTTTGTAAATATGAGCTCCTGCCAAGCCCATAACCATGCTAACATGGGGACATAGTTCAAATATTTAGTGAAAAAGTATATCCCATTATCTTTATGACCACAGCTAAAGAAGTGTAACAAAACAGAAGTAGTCCTTGAGATCAAACAGACGGACAAGATTGTAAAGGAAACATGCCCTGTCTACTTCCATGGCTCACACCTCTTCTGTAGAGGAGGGCACAAGTGAAGGACCGCAGGCACTCGAAAAACAGGGCATGGAATCTGGCCAAGATTCAGAGCCACAGGCGGAGGGAAACAGCTAAGAAATCTAGAGAGGAAATCCAGTACTGGCTTTTAAAAAAGTCCATGCCATGTTTTTCAAGTATAACCTTTTATGACCTCACATTTTCTTCAGTGGCTGCCCTGGTACTAAAATTACAGGGCTGCTCATACTGACTTCCTTCAGGCTGTGAATTTCCATGAGGTGTCTGGGAGGGTGGCTGCATAAGGACTGCCTCAGAGGAGTACAGAGGCTTGGGGAAGGAGGAGGGAGGGGCATTGATTCATTTAAAAGTGCTGATGTAACTCGGGTATAGTTAATCAGAATTATGTAGAACATAGAAGAACCTGCTAGAAAATAATGTTTCAGTACATTTTGATAATGAAGATAGATTTCTATTAGTGCATTAAAAAGTGACATTTAATTTTTTCTTTTACATGTGAAGTATAGAGAAGATAGAGAAACTGACAAGATGCAGCAACACAAAATTCCATTTTACAATTTTAAAGGAAACAGCAAGGTAAAAAAGTTTTTTAAAAATAAATATTAGCCCGGCCGGTGTGGCTTAGTTGTTGAGGGTTGACCTATGAACCAGGAGGTCATGGTTTGATCCCCAGTCAGGGCACATGCCCGGGTTGTTGGCTCAATCCCCAATAGGGGGCGTGCAGGAGGCTGCCGAACAGTGATTTTCTCTCATCATTGATGTTTCTATCTTTCTCTCCCTCTCTCTTCCTCTCTGAAATCAATAAAAACAAATTTTAAAATATATATTTTTGAAATGCCAAGAGGAAAAGCCTCAATGGATGCATTCGCTTGAGCAACGCACCAGTTAATAATACTCTCCTGTGAGGAGAATGGAAGTGTCCTTGTTGGAAATGCTCCACCTGGGAGGACTGGGGATTAAGTCTTCCCTCTACAAATTTATTACACTGATATACTCAAATATCAGAAAGACACCACAAACCAGGTTATTCATTTTAGTAATGTTCATACATTATTGTAAAAGCAGCAGATCCAAACTATCCTAACGTCCATCAACAGATGACTAGTTCACTAAATTAAAATATAGCCAAGCAATGGAATGCTATGCAGCTACAGAAAAGGATGAAGCTCCTTAGTGAGTTATAAAATAACCTTCATGATATAATGTTAAGTGAAAAGGCAACTGCAGATTATGTTCTATGTTCCCACTGATGCACAAAGTGAGAAAAAACGAGTGGATGTGTGTAGTTGCTCTGGAACACATGTCTCCTGAATGGAATATGAGAGACTGGAAGCCTCTGGGGAAGGGAACAGTTGAGTGTAGGGGGCAGGGGAAGCTTTAACAGGGCACCCCTATGACCATGCTAAGGTCTTACCAACTGAACAGAAAACAAATTATTGGAAGGAGGGCACATTTCTTTGCTGGACTTCCTTGGTTTCCAACACAGCCTTTCCCGATCCCCATCACTCCATCTCCGCCAATCAGGGCATTCCACAGGCAGCTGCCAATCCTGGGCCTCACACCGTTGGTGGAGGAGGCTACTTCTTGGCCCAGGCACATGGGAAAATGCTAGCTGTGCCAGATTCATAACTTTGTTCTCCAGCAGAAAGGGGCAGTAAAGGACTGTACTATCCACAAAGGGAAGAGAAATCTAGTCTACTTTCACAGAAACCAAACTGTCAATGTTAAAAGGCCAAGTGTTAATGAGCTTCCCGCACACAACCATGCATTTGTTAAACGTGAAGGGCAATGTCCACAAAGTCTAGAAACATCGTTATTATTATTGTTAGGTTGTGTTTCTAGACTCTGTGGACATCCTGTCTATTTACTGCTTTCCACCCCATTCCTTCCCCTGGTAAACATAATTCATCTTGCTCTTTATCAGACAGACATCAGAAGTTAGCTGAGCTTCCCTTTTTATCACAAAAGAAAACAAAAATATAAAAAGAACCTTATTTGGAATGGAAATAGCCTTGCTGCATTGTCAGCAATGAGTGGGATACTATTTATTACTAAGCATCTAAATTTATCATCCTTGAAGAATGCTGAGAAAGGGAGAAATGTCTTCCTGGGTGGTTAAAGGATGGAAAGTCGTCTGATGCCCAAGAGGCTACAGTCAGTCACACGCCCTGGTGACTGTGGGGGCCTGTGCCATGCAAAACCAATAGCATCTCTGCAGGAAGGACTTGATTCCTGAGTTCTCAAAGAGTGAAAATGGCCATTCAGGTCCTCAGGCTCTGATTACTACAGAGGTGACCATTAAAAGTGACCATTACCAATAGCAACACAATAGTCAATGTCCTTCTTTTTCTTTTCATTTTCAGAAATCCAATCTAATCCAACCCATGGGGCAAACTAAATCTGTGAGCTTTCCATATTTCCATATATCCAATCACTTGCTCTTCATGACCTTTAGGTGAAGGGAGACCCTGAAGATCAGTGATAGAGAAGGTTTTTTATGAGAAGACAAATCTTTCGAGTTATTCGGCTATTACCCTAATCTTCATGAAAGTATCGCTTTACTTTTAAACCTAGATGTGAGATTCTGCCAGCTTCCCCAAGGTTAATGATAAATTGAAATGAATTCACGAATGGTCTCTGGGTGTGACTCTGGGACAGTTAATGCGGGAGGCGGGAGGAGATGGGCGGGAGGAGTGGGCAGGTGCACAGAAGAGGCCTGGACACTCACAGGCCCTTTTGTTCTGCCACAGCAGGACGCACGAGACTTCTCGTCTCTTCCCAAAATACCTCAGTTGAGATCTAAGCAAAGGAAAGCGGTGGGTTACTTCTGATGGAGCTAAACAATGGTTTCCCCGTGTTCTTGTTCGACAACTGTGCGCAGCGGCTACTCACACTCTTCACTCTCCACTGCGGCGTAGTTGCCGACTTCTTTGAAGCTGATGTTTCCCAGGTGGAGCACGCCCGCCACGATCTGCAGCACCAGCGCCTGCTCCTCCGCGAAGATCCCGATCACGTTCATCGCGTGCTGGAAGCGGGAAGAGAGATTACCCACGTGAGCCGGTCACCAGCCTTCTAAGCACACAGCGCAGGAGCCCGAGCTTCGACTGGGTGGTGCAGTGATGCGTGGCTTAGCTAGTGACGGCAGCTGGAAGTCCCAGTCAGACATTATCCCTGACCAATGCACTCTCTTGCATCTCTCTCAAGTCTCAACATCATGCTGGAAAGGCAGTGTGTCCTCGAATAGAGCATGCTCCCCTCCAGGATAAGGGCCAAGAGAACTGCAGGAGGAGAGGCACGCAGCTGGAGCAGCAGCTGGGCACAGTCAACGAGTCTGTCTGCATCCCTTGGTGTGGTCCTGGGGCCATGCCTCTCCCCCTAGGGCACTGGTGCCCGTGTCCAGCTACTCCAAATACACACAGAGGCCTTTCCCTTCACTGGGAGGACTGAGAAGAGATTGCATTTGCAAAAGATCTCAGTTCAAAATCTCCAGGGATTGCAATAATAACAGCATCAGAGAAGTCTTATTTCTGAGGTCTATACAATTGAATATCGAATAAAAGCAGCTGAAAAGCTTGAGTCTTTGATATCCATATTCCAAAGGAAATTTACTCTAGGACCAATGCAGGCCCCTCATCTGCATTGCTCCAGCCAGCTCCTTTGGGGCCTCCTGATGTCCCCTCTTGTCCTGGCTCCTGGAAATACATCCTGCCCTTCAAGTTAATCCACCAACTTTCTTCAAGCTGTACCTCCAAATGCCCTGCGGGGTCTCCCACTGGGCTCTGGCTCTGGGCTGAGGTTGGGCCAGGCTGATAGCTGACTCAAAGGGCAGTAGCGATGCATTTCTTTGAGGCTAAATGGGTGACCAGCCCACCTCCAGAAACGTCTAACTAGACTTGTGAAGTTGTTTCCCCGAGGATGTCACCTTTTGTACTATAATGCACGCACCATGTGGAGAGCTGTCTGACCTGTACGTACAGAGTGAAGAGGAAGTGGGTGGGAAAGCCTGAAGGTGTGCTAATAAACTCAATCAGGTGTCTAACCCGGCCGAGGTCCCAAGAGCGCTCTGCTTTGCCTTTCTAAGGAGGCAGCGCAATTGTGCGAGCTGCCAGTAAACAGGTGTGGTAAATGCACTATGCACAACAGTTCTTACCTGCTAATCAGAACTCCTGGGGGGCGGGGGGGCGTTAATGATGCATGCACTATTTTTGTTTGTTTGTTAATCCTCACCTGAGGATATTTTTTTCCGTTGGTTTTTAGAGAGAGTGGAAGAGAGGGAGGGACACACACACACACACACACACATCAATGTGAGAGACACATCAATTGGTTGCCTCCAAACATGCCTCAACTGGGGATTGAACCTGCAACTCAGGTATATGTCGAAAGATTCCCAGGTGATTCTAACGTGCAGGTAAGTTGAGAACCACTGCTCTAAACTCTGGCCAGGGCACGTTCACTCTCATTTTTATTGCCCGTCTCAAATCATTAAGCGGTCCTCCGGCAGCTGGGCAGGTGGCTATTGAAGGGTGCTTAAATGTGTTTTACTAACAGGACTGCTTACAGCAGAAAGAGGTGGAAATTTCATGCTGCTCTTGGCTTTGCTAACCTTCAGTGCCCTTTCTACCAGCCGCAATGCCCTGCCTGAGAGCAGATCCCGCCTGGTCCTGCACCAGCACTTACCAGAGTTTCCTGAAACTCCCGCTTGTCATCAATGTCATCCACCTTGTAGGACCCAGAGC